TATATATATATATATTTGATTACCTCTAACGATCTTTCGAGAATTAAAGAAGGATTAAAGCATGCGTTTATAATAATTAATACTACAAGACTCTTACTTCTCTTGACAGTGTAGGGAACTAATGATTATTTCTTAAATGATGGTAAAGTAAACATCTTTTAATAGAGAAAGAAAAATCCTAAAATCTTATGAGGAAAAAAATTAATTTTTTTTAAAAAATGTCAGGAAAACTTATCGAATTTTGTTCCGGTTTTCTGATTTCCGGATAAGAGGTTCTGTACTGTAATTATTAATTTTAAAAAACTGTAAAGAGCTTATAGCAAGGGTATGTATGAAAAATTTCTGTGTTCTATGATGACCAACTACAACAGCTCACTGGAGTATTGATTTCTATAAGTGTTGCTTTGGGTGTCGTGTCGTTTGTGCAATTGTTTTCCTTTAGCGTACAGAGAAAGGCTTTGCAAAAGTCTATTTCTGTTGGAGGTGAGAGATAATATAGCTGAAGTGTTAATATGCAGTGCATCGAAGCCATGTTCAAAAAACTCCCATTTGTGAACAAAAACAATTATGCCGTGAACGCTAACTTGATTCTTGTTCATCAGGTATCAGTGGTTAATCTTGTAGCCGGTTTTCTTGGGAGTGCAAACATTCAAGCCTTCAAGACGATGCGTACGCTCCGGGCTCTACGGCCTTTGAGAGCACTTTCGCGCTTCCAGGGGATGAGGGTAAATATGTCGACCATAGCCACATTATTCACAAGTGCATGACTTTTTTCTCTATGGAATGCTATACTTACTTCTTTTTCTCTCTGCCTGCTTGCTTTCCTTTCTTTTCTATGTTGTGACTAATGAAAATATTTCTTCTCGCTTTCTAGGAACGTGTACTTTAAGGCCATCCGTTATTAATTATACACATCTAGACTTTCTTAGGTGCCTAAGCAGATTTTTCTAGTAATTAAAACGATCTTGTAATAACATACCATGTCGCTAGCTGTTTTAAAAGAGCTTTTCGTTTTTAACTCATCGCTGAACACTTAGCTTTTAGGCCCACATTTAGTAGCAAAAATTTAGTGCATTTTTACAAATTCTCTGCTAAAAGAGCCCAACTTTCACAATTGGTATGCTACTTGTTTATGCTATAACTTTATAGCAATTAAATTTCAGCTTAAAATACAATTATGAAACAATGTTTGATTTAGATTATTGATTTTAGACATTTATTTATTTTTCAAAAATAATTTTAATGCATAGCATGCATCGAATTTCAATTTATTGATCAATGAAAAATAATTATGATAACATAGAAACATTTAAAACTCATATTGTTAGCATAGAAATCATCCCAAAAAAATTTGCAGAAAACAAATCTTTATTACATCTTTTCTAACGTTTAGAAGCTAATTAAATAGAGAGTCTAGTCTTCATTTTAGATATAAAGAGAGTACAATTCTTTATGTTTTTGTACTACAAATGAAACATTACTTTTAGTCTGATAAAGACTTCAAACGCTACTATGCTGTATTTCAGTAACAAAAACAGGCATCTATTCCATCTATTCATTGTGCTGTGAATCTAATCATTCTACATCAAAACTTCTCTCTGTTGTCTTTGTTTTTTGCAAAACTGTCTCTATCTATTTGATGTTAGCTGTATGTAAGAAAAAGTGCTTTAGTGTGCTGTTTCTGTAACACAGGAATATTTGTTTTCAAGTTACATCAAAAGCATTCATCGTTCTATGCATAGATCGTGCGTGAAGTTGAGGAATTTTATTTAGTTATGTGGACCCCTCAACAACATATGAACAAAATTAATTAAATTACAAAGATTTTAGTTCAATTTACAGTCTAATTTGAATATGGATAAAAATATTAGACCACAGTTAATGTTTGTAGGTTGAATTTCTCTAATCTTTCAGGGATATCATTTTTTATCCATTTCTAAAAACTTTTTCTACCTCAAAATACTGAGAGTCATAGTAAAGTGTGAAGGAAAAAAAACTCTGAAGTTCTTAAATACAATTTGAATACTCTAATTGTATACAATTTGTGTACTCCAGTCATGAATTAAATTCACGTCAATTAATTAATAAAATAATAAATAATTATTAAAAATTATTTTTTGCTTGGAATTATCTTTGGATGACCAAATCTCATAATTTTGGTCAAATATTTTTCGATTCGTTGAAAACAATTCTCTAGATTTTGCGAAATACGCGAAGAATAAAATGAATATTAAGGTGTCCAAACTTTCAACAGTTCTCCTGACCAAACCATTGGGACGATTTTTCACAGATTGCGGCTACCCCCCTATATTTTGAGAGTCAGAAATCTGAATCCGTTCGGGGGAAAAAGTATGTTTATTCTGAAAAAAAAGAAATTTTGCCACTGATTTCGTAATTTAAAATATCGCCTGCACTAATTAATTAGAATATTTGATGTCACTCCTTAAAATCCTTAAGTTTGAGTAATCCTAAAGTTGATCCGCCTGAAAATCCGATCATTAAATCACAAGTTATTCAGGAGCAACAGAACATAACTGCCTTATTTAGAAAGGCATTCCCATAAGTATTTTATTTTTAGACATAAAAAAATATCTGATTTTACATGTAATGTTCTTTTAATTAGTTGAACACAATTAGATAATAACTTTTTTGTCTCAACAGGATCCGATTATCATATCTTTGGTTAGTGCATTTTTATAGGCGCAGCGATCGCTTTCATACCCCACCAGCTGATCGCCATGAATTGAATTATACCTCATCTTTCATCGATTCCTCGAAGCAAAATTGCCTTTTAGCCAAATATTCATTCCACAATAACGACAGTAGATGAGTAAATTCCAAGCATATTGGAGTTTTGTAATGTTGTTCTTATTTGTCCTATTACAGGATAGGTCAAAGTAAAATGATGTCCTGGGACTAAGTGAAAAGACGCGGTTCAAAAGGCTTTTTCAAAGACATGATGAGAGGTGGCATCCATGATTATACAAAGACTGGCACAGTGTTTGCAAGCATGCATCGACTGTTAAACCTTTATAATAGCATATAATAGAAAATAAAATTTGAGACATTACCTTTCGGATTATCCTTGTATTTTAAATTTAATTACAAAGTCATATTTGGTACATTTTAAAGTTCCCAAATTTTAGTAGCCCAAATCGACTGTTAAACCTTTATAATAACATATTATAGAAAATAAAATTTGAGACATTGCCTTTAGGATTATCCTTGTATTTTAAATTTAATTACGAAGTCATATTTGGTACATATTAAAGTTCCCAATTTTAGTTTCCCAAATCGACTGTTAATCCTTTATAATAACATATTATAGAAAATAAAATTTGAGACATTACCTTTAGGATTATCCTTGTATTTTATATTTAGTTACGAAGTCATATTTGGTACATTTTAAAGTTCCCAATTTTCCTTATTATTCATATGTGCCACTCTTTAAAAACCATTAACATTACCTTGAAAAATCTTATGGCTAAAAATTGACATCCCTGTACAATTTACTGTGTTTTGGACAATAATTTCAAATTTGGCTTGAAAACAAATTTTTCCGTGTGTATTTCCATCTTCAAAGTGCATGGACTCTATTAAAAAAAAATGTTACTACAATCCCCTGGACCACGAAAAGAAGCAATTCAAAATAAATTTATTTTAAGAAACAAGTAAGGTATATCTTCAGGTAGGTCAAAAAACTGTTTCTTACTTTTAAATTCTTTAGTAGATAGAACCTTTTATTAAAAAAAAATTCTCTTTTTAATTAATATTGCATGTTAGGTGTAGGATCAAATGAAATATGTTGGCTGCCTTTCTTTTAATATATAACTTCTTCCCCAAATACTACTTGGAATCTTTTGAACATATTTAGAAAATAAATTATATTCAAATGTCGAACGAGAAAAATATCTCATGAAATCTGGGCAGCCAACACATTATATGCAAAAGAATTTTCTCAATAGTCTAGGCACTGCATTACAAAGCTGAATTAGTTTTAGAATTTAATTAGACTTCATTATCTTTCACCATTTGAATACTGCATTAAGTTAATGGGCTTAAAAACTCAATGCATGTTGCTTGCCTTAAAAATATAGTGCATTTATTAATATCTGAAAATTGTATGTGTTATAATATTGAAAACATTTAGTAATGCTGAAACTAATGCACTTTATTACCTCGCTCATTAGGTAAAACAGTATATCTTAAAAATCATACTTATTTACATAAGTGAAGTACGCTTTGGAGTAATTTTAATATTAAAAATAACAAATATTAGACCAATATTTTGAGAATTTAAAATTGATGAAAGGTGTGACCCTTTGGCTCCTCATTTGGGATCTTCTTACAAAAGTAATATTTAAAAAGTTACTTCTTATAGCAACCATGATACAAATTGAAAAGGCTCTTTTAGCCTTTAATATTGGTCTTTTACATTGCCTCAAAAGCTTTATCAGTTTTTCCACATAAATACCTTATTAAACCTTCAACGTTTTAATGTTCGCTGTCTGTTATTTTAATCACTAATTTTCATTCCACCCTAAATACGTGCGAAATAAAAATAAAATTGATATTCAAATGGGCCGTGAATTTATGTAAAATTGCTGAAAATTACTTATAGTTTCTGACTTCTTGGTGAAAAGTCTTATTGGGCAAAAGGACATGAACACTAAATAACTTTAACGCTGTATTATTTCGTTTACATGTTTGCAGGTAATTTAAGCCTGGTTGTCGAAGTGTAACAAAAGATTCCACCTCGAATTTAAAAGAATTAATTTTAATATGATATAGAAGAATTTTAGATACATAATGTTCTAGTCCCTAATGAGCGACGTATACAATATTTTATTATTATATTTCATTGTAGCATTTAATTCAATGTATCAGTTTAAAAACCGTAGTTTTTTTATTGTTTAAATTGCAGTTTTATCGACGATGAAAAGAAGCTACTTTTATCAAGTATTTCTCTCCTCCCCCCATTTTATAATCCAGGCCACACTCAAATTCTTTTTTTTTTTTCGATACACTTGGAATTACCACAATAAAAATAATGTCAAAAATATTTTAAACACATAAATTGCAGCTGACTAAGCAATAATAAAAAATTACTAAGTTTAAAATAATTTTGCATTTTTTATACTCAATAATCCATTTACGATTTCCAAGCACTATAATGATAAAAGTGAAAGACATTTAGTCATTTGCTTAACTAACACAAAAATAAATTTATTTAACCTTTTTAGTAGTAAGTGCTGGGATCTAGGCAACTCCTAATATGAGAATAACCATTAATTTTTCAAAACAGGTTTTATATAATTACACACAATTTACTATGCCATCATGTTAGATTGCTTTTATAAATTAATTTTGAGGCTTTAAATTTTGTTTTCTTATTTAATAAATATTACTGACATAGAGTTTCTCAAATTATTTAGGTGGTGGTCAATGCCTTGGTCCAAGCCATCCCAGCCATTTTCAACGTACTTCTAGTGTGCCTCATTTTTTGGTTAATATTTGCAATCATGGGTGTTCAACTGTTATCAGGAAAGTTTTTTTCTTGCAAAGATGAAGAAGGAACTGTAGTTAATATAACAATTGCAGCTAATAAAACTGAATGTCAAGCTCAAAATATGTCCTGGACCAATCCTAAGATTAATTTTGACAATGTGCTGAATGCTTACTTAGCCCTGTTTCAAGTGGTATGCTCTTTCTTTGGTTTAAAAGATGTTTGATTTAAGTGATGTTAAAGACTCTGAAAATATATGTATGCATGCATCCATTTTTGGAGTGGCATTATCTCTTATCTGTTTTTGTTTAAGTTAAGCCTTAAAAATAAAGGTGCGATTATATGCTTCATATTTCGCTGAAGCCTTATTAAAAAAATCAAATCCTCAGCTTCCTAATCGCAGAGGAAATTTTGCTCATTGCTACTTTTATATATATCTTCTGTCGACATGAATAAGTTTTTTACGGTCCTTGAAAGTTATTATTTTACTAATTATTAACAATTTTATTAGTCATTTTCATCTCAAATGTACTTCTTTCTTTTAAAAAAGTATGCCACTTTTTGAAGAAAAAAGCATTCAATTTATTATACTTTACAATACTACTTGGGATCTCTTAAAGTCCTGAAAACCTAGAAGTGTCTAAAATTTTAATTATAACAAATTCAAAAATATTGCCTTTTTTGTTGTCTAGAACTTGAAAAAATCTTACAATAAAACTGGAAAATAACCAATATTAAAATTTAATTTAATAATAAGTATAATAAGTAGTCAGATAGGTTCAAAGTAAGTAAATCTAACATTTGTTAAAATTATTTATTGGGAAAATCTCACTGTAACATGGTTAATTTTTCTTAGATTTATTAAAACTATAACAAATTTATTCAAAATGTTTTAATTTTTTTTTCTAAATATAAACATATTTTCAGTTCAACAATGAAATTCAATTGACTGGTAATAATTTATTTTGAAAATTAAGCTTCCTATGCAAATCAATTTTGGTTGTTAATTTTTTATCACAAGTAAAAAAAAAATGGTTGTAAAACTGGCATTACTCAATCATTGAGTTTTAAAAATGTTCTAGTTTTTGTGCAAATTATTGCTTCTATCTATATACTTCATATTGTGCATTATAAAAACTAGATGTTAAACTTTTGCTTAGAGTTTCTTACAAAATGGAATGTTTGATATATTTTCTATCAAAAAGTAAGTTTCATTACTGAGTTAAAATAAATTATTTCTGATGAAATTATACTTTGATCAAAAATTTTTTTTCAATTTCATGGAAAAATCAGGTGGTTTTACATCTGAAATTAAATGTAATGTTATTTTATCAGGTAATACTTTACACTTTTTATAATATTAGTGACTGGCCAATAATAAATTTATAAAACTAAAAAAAAAACTCAGTTGTGAATATTATTTCTGAAACAAGCGCAATAAACATGAGTAAAATTTACGTACATTTTGATGTAGAATTTGTAGACAAAAATAAAATCTTATTAATATTCACGCATCAGTTGCACTGCTGATGAATTTTAATAACATGTTTTAATGTTCAAATCCAGAAACAGTTGTGTTTCGATAGAAGTACTGGTAAAATTATTTCAATTTTAGTTTGCTTTGATGATGGATAAATTATAAGAAAGAAAGAGTTAAGTCCAGTATGTGTTGGTATTAAATTCTAATAACAAATTCGCTCCCACATTTTTTCCTGTTATGCTCTATCATAAACCCAGATTTAGTAACATGTATAGAATATAATGATTTTATAGAATTATATTTATTGGTTGTTCGAAACTTTATTATTATTAAATTTCTTTTTTCTTACCATTGTAAATATATTATAATGTTTACTTTATTCTAGGCAACTTTTAAAGGTTGGATTGATATCATGAATTCTGCTATCGATTCAACCGGGGTAAGAAATTTAAAATTATTTTTCTAAAGTTAGTCCTACTCTGAGGTTCATATGTTAAGATATTATTTTACCTAAAATTGCTATCGATCTGGCATAATATCTTTATCCAGCTTTTAGTAACAATAACAAGCATTTAACTTTAAGATTAATCGATGAAATAAATTCATAATCTTGCATTTATTTCAGCTATTAGTTTTAAAGGTGAAATAAATACAAGATAATAAATTTACTGTTCAGACAAGCGGTTTCATACTTATCAAAATTAAGGTCCTAGAGTCAACGCCACAAAATGTAAGACATTTTAATATTCCACCGTCTGTTCCCTGTCGCTTGCCAGACCTTGAAATGGCTGCGCTGTTTGCGATCAAAATGCCACGAATCCAACCTTGCCTAATTTGTCAAATTTTTTTGAAAAAAAGCTTGTTCTTAAATTTCTGATTAATTTTGAGTTAATTAAATTGTAAAGTTTCGTTTTCTTAAGAACGAATATCAATCCACCTCAATATCTTGTTTTTTTGCCGCTTTTTCGGTAATTCGTCCCGTAGCGCATTGGATGGGTGTATAGAGCTTTGAAAGCAGTTCTGAAAATTAGAAAGCAAAGCGAGCAGCCTGTAAAATATTAAAATGAAATATAGAAGATGGTAAAGAATAAAAGCTAGGGTGTTAAACAGGACAAAGGAGAGAATAATTACCGAACACGAACTCTTAAACTGTTAATGAACTGAAGCGTTCCTTCCAATTGCTTACCGCAGTGATTCTCAACCACTGTGCCGCGGCACTTTTGTGTGCCGCCAAATTCTTAAAATGCGCGTCAAATATTAGAAATGATACAATAAAAATTATAATGCTTTTTTTATTACGAGTAAAGTTGTAAAGTTTAAATTAAAGGAAAGTGTATGTGTATATATATATATANACGTGAACATCTCTTTGTGGGCGATTGTCTTGTCTCTGACAATCTTAAAATAAGAAGGAAGTGTTTAAATTGTCTTTGACACACAATTTTAAGAAATGTTGAAATTAGTAGGAAATTTAATGACTATTAAAATTATTAATTAGCAAAAAAAAGCAAGCTAAATATTAACTTTCAACCGGAAATAAAAGCTGATCATTAAAGCAAGCTATGCAATTAATAGTTCTAAAAACAAATTAACAAAGCATAACTAACAAAAAAATAAGCTAACAATTAATAATTAGCAATAAAACTAGTTAACAAGAAATCACAAAAAAATTTATTAATTTAAAGAAACTAGCAGTTAATATAACTATAGAAAACAAGCTAACAATTAATAACTAGCAAAAAAAAAAAATAACTTTTACTAATTAATAAAAAATTAGTCAAAAAAAATAATTAATCCCTTAATAAACGTGCTTTTGTAGTACATATTAGTTTATTTCACATTCAAAATTATCACAAACTATATAACACAGTGTATTATAGTTAAGTAAACAACTTTTAAACTAATTTTTTTCATTGTGTGCCGTCAAATTTCGAAATGGTTGAAAGTGTGCCGCTGCAAAAAAAAAGGTTGAGAATCACTGGCTTAACGAATACATTGGAATCAATACCTCACTTGCTTGGATAGCAATACCAGATGCATAAAACTGAATTAGTCAGAATTTTCCCTTTTTCTATATAAAATTTAACTATTATCAACTAGATGTATCGACTTGAGTGCGATTTCATTCAATTCAGCGTAAGAAATTACTTCGGTAACATTATTCACTTGCCTAGATAGCAATGAGTAAGTGTTGCGCCCTCCCCTCAGTAAATTCCAGATAGAAAGTAAAGCTTAACTCGAGAGAGGATTTTAACTTCTGATATTCATATTATTCCGAAATTACATTTTGAAACAATTTATAGCTAACTATTTCTGCATTCGATTTCCCAGGTACGGTTCTTTTTAAAATGGCATTTTTTAGTCTATTTTTTGTTGAAATTTTCCAGTTTTAAAACGATATATACACCGAAGACATCAGAGCCATTACATCATGACCACCCTACTAATAGCATGTAGGACCACCTTTAGCCCTCAAAACTACTATCACCTGCCGTGGCATTGATTCCACAAGATGCTGATAGGTAGTCTGAGGTATCTGGTACCAAGCGCTCACCAACTGGTCCTCCAATTCTCTCACATTGCGAGGGGGTAGCGTGGCAGCACGAATTTGGTTTTATAAGTAGGACCGCAAATGCTCTATTGAATTAAGGTCAGGTGAATTTGGGGGCCAAGACATGACTTGAAAATCGCTGGAATGTTACTCGAACCAATCCATGACGATTCGACCCTTATGATCTGGTGCATTATCCTGTTGGTAAACACCAACCCCCGCAGAAAAAACTATTGCCATGGATGGGTGAACCTGGTCTGCAACTATGTTCAAGTAGCTTACAGACGTCAGGGATTGTTCTATGAGGATTATGGGTCCTAATGTGCCCCATGACAACATTGTTCCTGGGCGAGAAGCCATGAAAGCCTGGGCGAGCCCATTGTTATAAATGGAGGGTGGTCATAATGTAATGGCTCTTCGGTGTATATCACAGGAGTTTGCATAAATGTTACGACAAACTTTCAGAGGAGTTGGGGCAAATCATCAGGATCGAAATTGCATATGAACCCATTCCTGGAAATGTCGTCATACGCCTCTGAGGGCGCTTCCCTATTATGAACTGTCTCTCCCTATGCTTTTGAACACATCATAATAGGGAAGCTAACTTCATTCGACGACATTTCCGGACATGGGTTCCTAGGCAATTTCAATTCTAATGATGTGCCCTGATTCCCCAAGAAGTTTGTTGCAACATTTACGCTACCCCTGTTATATGTAATGTTTTTAAACTTGTACATTTGTACAAAAAATTGACTAAAAATGTCCTCTTTAAAAAAAAGTCTGTACCTTTAGGAGCCAAACTAATTTCGGATTTGAAATTCCCACACCCAAATAAGGCTAGATCATACAGGAAATGCAGCAAAAAAATTTGCAATTATTTAGCAGAACCAAGTATGAAAAATATATTTTTGTTATCTCGATTTGTTCTGAAAAAATTCAATTGCTTTAAAAACAAAAGATTTTAAATTTTTTAAAAATATAGCGTTTCCTCCCTCAGAGTGTGTTTTAAAAATGTTAACAAAACTTATTTTGTTTATTTACCAACAAAAAATTCAATTTAAAATCTAAACAAGATATTAATCATTGTTTTATTTTACAGGTTGATCAACAACCGCAGCCCGAATACACAATATATATGTATTTTTATTTTGTTCTCTTCATTATCTTCGGCTCATTCTTCACACTTAATCTATTTATTGGAGTAATTATTGACAATTTTAATGAGCAAAAAAGAAAGATAAGTATCATTTCAAATCTAATATAAAAGTTTTTCTTATGAAATTCAATAAACAGCCAGCTTTTTCTGTAGCCTAATTTATATATAATCATCAATAGTCCTTAAATAGCTGACATTGGAGTTATTTTTTAATATTTTAAGCTTAAGTAAAGAAAGTATTGTGTTCTGGTTGTATTATATAATTAAAATTACGTTAAGTTTTGATAAACTATCATTTATAACATTTTCTTTGTTTCATATTTTTATGTAAATGAGAGATATGCATAAATATGAAATTAAAAGACGTTTAATTTCATGTATATTTTTACTACACTTCCAAGAGATTTCATTGTGTTGACTGTTGAAAAAAAAATTTTCCTCTAACTTTATTTGAACTTATATAATGCAATGCATTACAAGAAACAATTATTAAAACTTTTGTAATATTTGCATGTGATTAAGTTTGTAAATGTATGAGACACAGGGAAAAAAGAGCCTAGTAAACTCAACTGTGGGACTGTTCATCCACACAGCAGTTTGCAATGCTTTTTACAAGGGAAATACACTTCTCTTCCCCAGAATTCTTTTTAAGGTGAAATTAGGTTTCAATTATAGAGCATGATTGAAAACCTTGGATAGGGTAAAAATTATCAGCCATTTCTGCCTATGGGGAAATATACTTACTTTAAAAACGTTTTGGTTCATTTATAAAGTTTTTGTTTACTTATAAACTAATAAAATTTTTCAGTTTTTGTGGATTCTTACTACAACAGTTAGGCTGTCCGGCTTCTACCAAAGAGTTCACGATGTCAAATTCTAACTGGGATGTTAAAATTTATCTCTAATTTTCTGTATTAAACAAGTTGATAACTATTTAGTATATTTTATTCAATTTATAAATTATTACTCTTTAGTTTATTTTTTTCAAAATTCCCATTTTTGAAAACAAAGAAAATTAATAAATGTTTAAATTATTTTTTTCAATTCAAATGCATGGATTTTGAAAATAATAGTACAAATTTTTTAATGAACTAATTGATTTATTTTAATATGTTATTAAGAATTTAAGTTTTTATTAAATTTAATTACGAAAATGTAAACAAAAGTATATTATTATGCTTGTTTTAAAAAGAGTTAAAAAGGAGGAATAAATTGAAAAGAACTTGTCATTACTTAACTAGAACCCTTTGTATCTTTATCCCCTTTCTTTCTTTTTTTCCTGTTAACATAATCAAAATGTATTGCCAACTAAATTTGTATTTTCAATGAAATGATTTACCAGTTAAGTAATAAATAGTTATTTTCAATTTATTCCTTTATCTTTTAAATAACATGTATAATAATGTACTTTTGTTTTCATTCTTAGAATGAATTTAAATAAAAACTTAAATTATTTATTACAAAATAAAATTTAAAAAAAACAGTTGTTTCATTAAAAACTTTCAATGCGATCTTTTTTAAATAGTCCATGAATTTTAATTAAAAAATATTTAAAAAAATTAAACATCTGTTTTTTTTTTAATTTAAATTTTGCAAAACAAATTATTTTTTATTAAATAATAATTTATAAATTGAATGAAACCCACTAAGTAGTTATCAACTTATTTAGAACAGATAAAATTCGAACATCCTGTCGTATAAAATTTTGCAACACCCTTCTTAATATCGAGAGTGAAGTAGGTTGAGAGACGAAATTGTGCAGTGTAGTAAATTAGATGGAGTAATAAGTAGTTTTGCCATCTAGTGAAGCAAATGGGTTGAGAGATGTACTTGACATAAAATAAGTCTGACGTTGAAATACATAGATCTACATGCTGTTTATTCAGACAGAAAGATTAGTGCTTTCATCACTTGGAGGTTTGTGAAGGGCGTGTGACAGCAATGAACAGATCCCCCAACCTGCTGATCATTTTTTTTATCAACTAAAGATGATCACTCTATCTTGAAAGACTAGGTTACCTCATAAATCTATTCCTATATGCATCACAATATGCTAAAAAACTTAAATTTTCCTCTTGAAATCATAACTATTAACAAATACTAACTACCAGTAACGCCCATTTTATTAAATTTTTAAATATAGTATGTTAAACTTAAAGTAATTTTGCTAAACATATTAAGTTTACATTCAAATAGCATATTTTGCTGACTAGTGTATTTTTTTCTATAAGCAGGGGGATCTTTAGAAATGTTCATGACTGAAGATCAAAAGAAGTACTACAATGCAATGAAGAAGATGGGGTCCAAAAAGCCAGCCAAAGCAATCCCTCGTCCCCAGGTATTAAACACACAAAAATGCTTTTTTTAAAAATAAAAAAAATATTGTATTTTTGCAGTAATAAAGGATAACTGAATTGTGTATCTGATGTAAACACGTTTATACTTAGAATGATATTGGGTAATGAATATCCATCAATACTCCCCTTAACAAAATATCAGTTAGCAAAATTGATGCATAAGCGAACTTCTTCTTTTTTCTTTTTTTTTTTACAAATTGAAATGTTTAAATCAATATTAATAAACATAATGTTGTCAACTGTCAACAAACCTTCCTTGTTCCTTTTTTTATGTAACATAATAAAGTTCCATAACTATTCTTTTTGCTGCATTTTAATTCCCTTGTCTTAAAACTTTAAAAGATCTTGAAGATCTACATATATTAAGTACTCGAAAACAATAACCTGTGATTTTGTTTTCCTTGATTACAGTTCAAACTGCAAGCTGTTGTATTTGACCTCACTACTAATAAAAAATTCGATATGGCCATCATGATATTCATCTGCCTAAATATGACTGTGATGGCAATGGATCATTACCAGCCAACCGATCTTTTTGACACCATCCTCGAGCGCCTCAATATTTTTTTCATCGCTATTTTTACTGCCGAATGTGTGCTCAAGATTTTTGCCCTTCGTATGTATTATTTTAAAGAGCCCTGGAATGTCTTCGATTTTGTTGTAGTCACTTTATCTATACTAGGTAAGTCTTTTTCATATCTTTGTTTTATTCTTACTTAATAAAATTGTCATATCCAAAATTTAAACATAGCAGTGATGATCTATTTTTAAACAATGTTATAGTTGAATAAATATTTATGTATATACATATATATATTTCCTAGATGAGATTTAGATATATTACGTTTCATCTATTCAATATTTTGTTTCATTTGCAGCCATTTCCAGATACCTGTTCTTATATGATGTATGTATATCATGATTTATACATCAATGTATAATGATTTATGCATCAGTATGTATAAATCATTATGACTCTTGGTCAAACTGTGACTCTCTTCTATCTTTAATATTTTGAAATATTTTTGTACGAATATAAAAGATTATATCCACCGTGGAACACATTTCTGTCTTTCCTTATCCATATCAATTGAAGAATAACTGAAATTTTAAAAGAACATTACTGGATAGACACTGTCAAAAAATTATGTTTTTCTTTTTTTCTACTTCATACTGAAAGTAAATTCTTTCTTCGTGACAAGAAAATAATTATGTGCTCACAATGTAATCATAATTTTGTGTTTATTTTTCTTCAAATGAAGGTAATCTTGTAAAGTTCGTTTTCAACCTTTGGTTGGACAACAGTCGTCTAAAGATAAGACAGCAATCTATCATATTTTTTAAGTCCTGTACAATCCTGCTCTGTGTTCCAACAGTAATCCTGTCTGCAAACTAAATCCAGAGCACTGACTCTTTTTAATTTTTTAGATAATAAAAATTAGTTGAAGAGCTTAGAGGTGAGTCCTAGTAGAAAACAGAAAATGGTTGTCACCAGCAAGCATACAAGAATTAATTCTTCCAAGAAATAATTTATTATATACATTCTTCTAATGTTTTAAGTATTATAAGTTTCAACGGGGAAACAATGAGATGTGTAGTATGTGTTTGTACAATTTAAAACTAATATCCTCAAAACTCACAAAATTTGTCTGAGCATGTTTTTTCACCAAATTTTTCAGTTTTGCTTAGATAAATCCTTCATTATATAGATGTTTGAATTGATTTTCTAATCAGCACATATTATTAAATTTTTTAACTGTTTAATAATTGTCTAATTTGTTGTCTTTTTTTTCTTTCAAATAGGTATTGTTCTAAAAGATTTAATAGCAAAGTATTTTGTTTCTCCTACTCTTCTTCGAGTAGTTCGTGTTGTAAAAGTTGGACGTGTTCTTCGATTAGTTAAAGGTGCGAGAGGAATCCGAACGCTGTTATTTGCCCTTGCCATGTCACTTCCCGCCCTTTTCAACATTTGCCTTTTACTTTTCCTCGTCATGTTCATCTATGCCATCTTTGGAATGTCTTTCTTTATGACTGTGAAGCATCGAGGTGGAGTTGATGAGAACTTCAACTTCGAGACATTTGGGCAATCTATGATACTTTTATTTCAAATGTCGACTTCTGCCGGCTGGGACGGAGTGTTGGCAGCCATCATGGAAGAGGATGACTGCGATCCTCCGAATCCGAAAATAGATTTAGAAGGTAATTGTGGTAGCAGGAACATTGCTGTTGCTTACCTTGTTTCATACCTCATCATTAGCTTTCTAATCATAATTAACATGTACATTGCTGTAATATTGGAAAATTACAGTCAAGCCACAGAAGACGTTCAAGAAGGCTTGACTGACGATGACTATGATATGTATTACGAGATATGGCAGAACTTCGATCCAGATGGAACTCAGTTTATTAGGTACTCGGCTCTGAGCACATTCTTAGACTCACTCGAAGAACCACTTCAGATACCTAAGCCGAATAAGTACAAAATAATTAGTATGGATATTCCTATTTGTGAAGGTGATATGGTGTTTTGTGTTGATATCCTCGATGCTTTGACGAAAGACTTCTTCTCGAGGAAAGGCAATATCATCGAAGAAACTGCGGAACTAGAGGTAGTAATACCTAAAGAAAGAGAAGGCTATAAGCCCATCAGTAGTACGATGACGAGACAGCGAGAAATATATAGTGCGCGTATCATACAACTTGCTTGGAGGAGGTACAAAGGACGAATTGGTGATGGCGAACCTCGTCAACAACAGACTGCAATAGTTGTTGAAAGTGATGGGCACATGACAAAGAATGGTCATAAAGTTGTTATCCATTCTAGGTCACCCAGTGTCACCAGCAGATCGACTGACGTGTGATAAAAAGAGAAATGAACATTTTTTCTCTGCTTTTGAAAGTGCTTGTTGGTGACCGACTGCTAAGTATATCTGCTTCAAGCCTATATTTTTATATCCTTTACGCAGAGGTTGAAGAATAGCATTGCACGTGGCTTCTGTGCTTATAGTTTGAAACTGGGTTTTAAGTTTGAGATAGATTATTTTACATTGAAACACATTTTTCAGAGAGTATTAAATTGTGAAAGTCCATTTGACCCTCGTAAATGGATGCATAATGATTTCTATATACCTCGGTTAACAATCAATTGTTCTAAAGTCTTCGTCTATTTGGCTTATTTATAATAACAGGAAAAAAAATTGTATGTTTAACTTATGTAAAAGTTGCTATGATCAGCATTTGTTACTTGTTAAATTTTTTAAAAATTGCTATTAGTAGATGTTTATAATGGTTGGTAAAGTCAGCTTGCAATGCCCGGTGTACCATCTTCAAGGTTTATACACTAACCGCTGCTGACAAGAATAACAAAAAGCATTTATATATTGTGGGTTTTTTTTTTATGGGGGTGTATTGTTTGATGCATTAACATCAAACCCTGTGTACATTTGAAGACGCTCTTTTCTAAGGATAAGTCGCCAAGATAGGTAATAATTAAAACTATTGAATAGAATTATTTGTTGATTGCTTAGAAAGTTTTACTAAATATAAGTGACCAAAAGAAATATTTGTACAAAGGGCTTCAAAACATTAATTGTTAAAAATCATCATTCTATGGCGAATCATTCCCCTAATGCACTATTTTTGTCCTTTCACTTGTATAAGTTGAAAATTTATATATTTTCAAACTAATAAAATTATTTATAAATGCTATATACAAAGTATAAAGTTTTGACTTTTCAATCACTAATATCACTTTACTGAATTATCGACTTTATTTTATAAAGAGAGAAAAAAAAATATCATGATTTGTGATATTTGCTATCTATGTACTATGGGAGCTAAAAATCTTCAAATATTTTACTGTACATAATATTATTTGAGAGAAAAACAAAATTTAAAGCTTAAATTTATAAAGAGTGTACATCTTAATTAGTAATCTAAATTTATTTCATGTCATGTTTTTACACGAAGCTTATATAGCAAGCAATTGCTGATATTTTATGGAATTCGAATAAGCTTTTCATCATTGGGCATTGCACTAATATATTAGTCACTACTAAAAAAAAGTCTAGTCCTTAGAGACAGCATCATTTTCACATAGATTTTTGCGGCTGAAAAATAAGCGGTTAACTAGTGCTTTTACATCCAGTTTGTGATGCAGTCAACTTTTCTGTTTTCTTTATCAACTTTTGTACTTCATGCAATTAAGCGTTTATGACTTTTATTGAACACTGTTTCTAATCACTGTTCATAATCAGATTTTACCTTTTTTTAATTTAAAACGGCACCCTTGTACATCGCTTTACCAATTGTAAATATATAATACATTTTTCTTACCAAGCAATTGATTAAAAAAAGTATTTTTCTTAAAATCTTTTTTGGAAAATTCCGTTTCAGAATTTTTATAGATTATTCAGATTTTTTCATAATAATTTAGAGTTCTTTTTTTTCACAAATTTAAAAGATATAGTAATAAAAATGAAATATTTTTCTATTTTTCATATTGACCTAAAATATGAATTATATTTCTGTAAAATATTCCTTTTTACGAAGTATTTTAGATTGAAATAAAATATATTTATGAATTTAAGTTGGATCAGTGAAACCAACCAAAACTTCATAAATACTGATGAATATCAACACACATTGGGAAGCTTCCATTTAGCAAAATTTTCTTCCAAACAATATTGACCAATAGTAAAAATATAAATTGTTTTACTTTAGATAAAACTTCTACACTAGTAAATTAGAAAACTTTCTTTTGTTTGCTTTAAGTTTTCTAAAGAAGTCGCAAATGTAGAAAAGTTGACTGTATCTGTACCAAATGATATCCAGGCTGATGTACGATAGGCTTTACTTTTTTCCACAAGTAATTCTTTTTTAAGTCTTATTAAATTGGTGACCCAGAAGTCGAACTTTTCAACAAAAATCGAAACGGAAGATAATTTCACACACTCGGGTGGCTTGGTGCAACGAAAGATGCAAACTTAATTGCAGTTCAAGTCACCTAATTCTTGAGTAGGAGAAGTACTGCGATACTCTTAACTAAAGATTTCAGTTGTGATGTGCCTTTCTCAGTTTATTACTGTTGGTTTTTTGTCAGGAAGAAATCTATAGATTCCGTCATCGGGCTTTTTCTTTGGTCATCGCGTTTAGTTTTCTTTGAGTAGGCCGATAGAATATGTCTTTCTCAAAGAACGTTTCATGAAGTCTGTTTGCTTCTTTGTGTCAAAGGGTTCTTGCACATTTAAAGAAGTTATTCTTTCCTTCAAAAACAGTAGCATTTCGAAATTTACACATATCGTAAACATTTTCTAGATTTTCATCTTTATTAGTACAGGGACATCATCTAAAATAATATCGATATACTTTTGTAATTCGATTTTTCAACTATTTCGAGAAATTCTACAAGAGTCATATTCGCATTTTATATTCTTGTACCCATAGAATTTGATTAAGAAGTTCTGTATAAAATCATAAAAGTTTGTTACTCGAAGCAATTTTATAAACAAAAGCAACTAAATTTTTATGTCTTCATATTAAAATCGCCCTTCATTTTAATTACTATCAGATAATATTTAAACTGGTATTTTTATAATCAAAGTAACTGAGAAATGCTACTGTTTCATTTTTTAAAAAAATGTTTCATTTCTATTTATATTTTATGTTTTTTATAAAGAATTATAACTTTTTTGTATGCATTTATAGTTTCCATATTCTTTATAGTTATGTATTTAAATTATATTTTATGCACATAGTAGGTTCCTTTGCCTCAAAGAATGCATCATTCATTCACGAGCTTTTATGTGTTTGATCAAAGAAATGTATGTACATTTAAACGCTGCTTGCGAGCTCAAAGTTGTGCAAATAATTTTTCATAAACCAAACTACCACTACGGCATGTGAGCAGCCTATTTTGTCCATTTAATTTATTATAAGTTCATAAAAGGGCGAGAGTTTTGCTTACCAACTCGGGTTCAGTTTTTCTCCTGCCATTTTTAATTTTAAAAAAATCTATACTTCTTAAATATAATTTTTGCTGCTTGTAATATAAAATCAATTTTAACCAATGAAAAAATCTGCTGCTGACTTTTTCTCTGCCAGCTAGTCCATTATTTAGAAAGTAATAATTGTTACATTTTCTGCGAGCCAATTCAACTTGTCACTGCTGCCTCAATTCTTAACCGTCTTCTCTATCTTGTCCATAATACTATATTTATCGCTGCCAAACGTCCTTTTGCAACAGCAGCTTCTGGCCGAATATTTTGCATTCACCATTTGCAAACATACAAGAAAAAAAATTAATAGATTTTCAGCCATTTCAATTTAGCCATAGCTTCAAAGTTAGTTATAATTGTGTTTTTCTCTGTGCACTTTAAAAAGACATTTCAGTTATATCCATGACCAAAGATTCGTGGCAATGTTTTGAATTTTGCAATGTAATTCCATTATGATCAAGGATATTGTTATTTAAATCAATATTCTATTACAGTGTATAAAGATTTTTTTCCTTCATAATTCCCACAAATAATAAGTAAAAATTATTTTTTCCTGTGCTTTTGTTTCTCTTTTTTTTATCGACTAATAATCTTTATTTCAAATATCTTTGTAAGTAACCAAAACTCAGAAAAGAGATGATATCTTTCCGATAAAAGTGTCGTGTTGTTTAAATTAATGTTTCAATTTTTAAAATCAAATTTATTTTACACAAAACTAAAGGCTTTGTTGAAATTGAATCAATTTTATTCAAATTTTAAACTTCATTGAAGCAATTTTAAAATTTATGATGTAAAGAAGTTTTCTAAAAAAATTAGCAAAAAGTGATTGATATTAATATTTTGTCGCATGTTTAATACAGAGGCAAATCTTCTATAACTTACCAATTCTAAAATATTTAAAAAATTGTAAATATTTTTTAATTTTAGCAATTTTATGCTCGTTTTCAAAAATTGGAATATTTTAATCGTTGAATTAAAATTTTGAGTGATTTATATAAAAAGTTGAATATTTTAAAAATTCAATTGAAATACTTAGCCTATCCATCTATATAAATAAAAACTAAATTTGTTGATTTATGCAAAAGAGTTTAAATTGAGCGAAGTTTAAATTTTAAATAAATATAATTAATTTAAATAAAAGAGTTTAAGATGTATCTGATGAATACTCAAAAATGAATATCATCAAAATAAGATTATTTTAAAACTTTTTCCATCATCAGTTGTTTACTTTATTTAGTCATTTAGCTGATTTTAAATTGTAAATGTTATAGAATATTAGCAGGCAAGTTTAGACAATTTAATTAACTTGCATCCTTCAACGTTTTGAGCTCACCATAAGCTTTCTATTTCCAAACTTTTTAGAATGTAATGAAATATCGAGAGGTGAATAAATGTGAGAAAATGTGTGGTGAGAGATAGTGATGGAAGTGTTATTATAATTTTTGTTATTTGTAGGAAATGATGTGAGTTTATGATTAAACAAACATTTCAGTGTTTAGAATTAAACATAGTGAACAATTCATTCGTCAGAGTTTACCGAACTGGAAATTCAGTGGAATTTTCGCTCACATGGTGTGTACATTTAGTTATCGTTCTAATATATTTTAGGTCTAGATAGCAGTGTATTTTATTCACAATTATAATTTGTAGACTTTTCCAATAATTTGGAATGTATTCAAGTACGTCATAGTGACGATTGCAAATATATATGCTCAGTATAAAAAGAAAAAATTTCATATAATTCTTATAATCCCCATGTATTAAATCATCGAATAAAGTTTTTTTTTTATTAAAAATTAAAGTTACAATTAAAATGCCAGTTTTAAATTGTAATTTTTTAATTCTATGGTGTTTATTATTTTTCACTAAAAAAAGAAAAAGAATTCTATTTATATGTGATGAATCTATCTTTATTTCTTAAGACAAGAAAAAAAGTTATCAGAAGTTATAGTTTATGTTATTCAAAGCTTTCATAAGCTTTTTACAAGATCCGTCCATATCTATTAGCAATGAAAATAAAAAATTTATTAATGGAACTACTTTAAATATATCAAACTTTTGATTCATCGTGAAAGCAAATCAGGATAAATTCATTTAAATTTTTAAAACAGAATTTAATACCCATACATGTATTATTTATTTTTAGAGAATCATTAAGATATTGATTAAATTAGACATTAAAGGTTCGGGCATATATGCTGTATACTACTCTGCTGTTACTATAATGTAAAATTATTTGAGAGGAAAAAAAGATTTATAAACTTGCGTCGAAATAGACAAAGTTAGTTGCTGCTAAAATTTGCTTTAATATTTATGCCATTCTAGTATATATTTTGTTCCGAATGTAATCAATTATTATTTTTAAGATATGTTTCGTCCTACGGGGAATTAATATTAAGTATAAATGAGGGCATAAAATATGTATTAATTGCTTATAACCTATTAATCTGCCACCATGTTTACAATTTAGTTAAATGTTCTTAGTTTATTGTCAGTAAAAGTAAGCCATTAACATTCAGGTCTTATGATGTTATAAAATTAATAAATGTATAAGTAATTAGAAATCGAAATGCTTATAAAATTTTATAAAAGCATTTTACAGTTTTTTTTTAAATTAAAATTGCATTTTTATCTACTATTTATAGAAGTATTAGCAAATAAATTATCTTTTTTAATAATTTTTTTTCTTCTTATTTTTGAAAAATCTAAAATGAATAAACACATTTTAGGAAAATTTTATTCAACTACAGCTGAGATTAACTACTTAAATTTATTAAATTTTAAAAAAAAGAATTAAATTATTTTGTAAACAAAAAAATGCAAGAAAAATATTCATTAAAATATCTATCATCTTCATTTATAATTACTAAATTAAAGAGTTTTTGATTGTATATTTATATTATTTGAAAATATTACTGATCCGTCTTCAATAAATAAATGTATAATAATGCATTCAAATAAAGAATTATAAAAAGATAATATTTTGTACCCAAACTCTCAATAAATTTTAAAAGAAAATCAATGTTTTATGAATAAAGAAATTTATTTTTCCTTATATTCTAACGGTGAAAAATAATGTTAAAGACCTTTGTAAATACTCATATGTTCGTAAACTGTATATTAAACTCTTTTGGAGTTATGTATAAAAGTCTCATCTCCCTTTGTTGTCTTTATATTTTATAGTTAATCCTGTAACATTTTAATGTGGTTCAAACTATGAAAGATAGCAGTTCGATTTAAGTTAGATTAGTAAACATTTGGGGGGAGGGACTAGAATTACCCTGAACAGCATATTTACCTTTTCTATCTATCATTAAACAGGAAAAAGTTCCAGTTTAAGAATTAATTCTGCACATGATCTGAATACCATTAAAACCAGTTCACCCA